AAGGGTATTTTAATATATATTTTTATCCTGGTAGTTTCCACTAATAGTAAGGTTTTTTAGAGGAGCAGGGCATGTTTTAGAGTTCAGCCAAGTAACAGCAGAACTATGATCCTTATAAATAGATAGGTCCACACATTCTCCCTATTCCTGATGCTGCACTGGAACGGATTATAGTCTATGTGTTTCAATCAAAGCTTGTACTAAGGGGGAATTGGTGGGAAAGCAATTTCCCTTGTTAAAATAAATTAATTAGAGGGGACAGATGGGAAGAAGAGTTCCCCTCGTTAAAGGTTTACTATTCAAGCTCAGGTCTTGTCAGCATACTAAGTAAAGTGGAGGCCTCGGGACACTGATAAATCCAAGTTTGGTAGGTAACCAGAAGGTTGTAAGCCTTTTGCATATTTATAATTAAACACATATCAACAGAATGCAGAGAAACATGCTGCTCTCATTCATCATGGCTCTTTTAAAAATGTATTTATATCTTGGTTATTTAAATTTCCAGAACCAATTAAACCAAGATTTGATCAAAATCTACACAAGGAGTTCTGAAGCAAGTTTATTGATCTTAATATAGTATGATATATAAATAAATACATAAATTAAAATAAAAGAAGGAGGCCTTGAAATCCACACAGACAAGTTTATTTTGGCAACAAAAATCTTTGCAAGACAAGTAAAGCGTATGTATGATCAAAGAAATGAAGGAAATGTCTATTTATGAACAACTAATAAAGAAAAAAGATCCAGCACCATGAAGGTAACTATAACACTAATCCCATGTGAAAAGCATTCAAGAGACACTTGTTTCGTGTGAGTCTTATTATGTAACATATTTAGCATAAAGTGTTTTGTTGGTACTTTAAGAAATCTTTCAAAAGACAGATTAAACTCATATTTACACTTCAGTGTCTAAACAAAGGTGAGGAAAGGGTGGTATTCAGATACTGCTTTTTCTCTTTACATATGCTATTTGCAGGCATGATTCATTTTACTGCCTCAGTCTAGTGATAAAGAAAAAAGTGATTTAACCTGTTAATTAAGGCTTTGTCTACACTGGACTTTCATGAGTAAAACTTTTGTCATTTGGGGTGTGAAAAAAAAACAAAACACCCCGAATGACAGAAGTTTTACTGACGAAAAGTGTGAACAGCTCTTTGTCGGCAGGAGAGCTCAACCACCGATAAAACTACCACCTCCCACTGGGGGTGGTTTTTTGGTTTTTGGGTCGGTGGGAGAGCTCTCTTCTGACGACAAAGAGCAGCTACACTGCGCACCTTTTAGCGGCACGGCTGTAGCAGCACAGCTGTGTCGCTAAAAGGTACATAGTGTAGACACAGCCTCAGTCTGACTGCATTTTGATCGCTTAACCACAGATCTCAATTATCGTGCAGAATTACTGTATTTTTTTCTTTCCTGCTGGTTTACTTTGTATGAGTTGACATTGCAACATTTTGAACATCGCCAATACTTCCAGCACGGTATTTATTTTTCTTCAGGTCTAGACCCATGCATGAGTCAGGTAATAATTTTGAAAAGTGAAACCTGTGGGAAGGTTATTATATTCTCTCCTCCAGTCTCAAATATGCTAGGAAACTACTTACTTTGACTATTTCCTTACTTATTAATTTAGCATTATATTAACTAAAATGCAATTCCCAGTGGTGTAATCTATACAATTTAGGAAATCACCTGTTAAATTCCTCCATCTCCCCACAACAAAATTGTATGTTGATTTTCCTCCACGTATTTGCTGACACCCATCCGCTGCTGGTAACACACCTACTTCCTCCATTATACTCAGCAGCAAACATGCAACCTTAGCTCTGACACAACAGTCATCCACCAACAGCTTTCCCCCCCCCCAAAAGATTGACTCCACACTGTGCTGTTTCATGGCAAGGGAAGAAGGGGGAAGAAGAGTGGGGAGGAGTGTAGACCAGTGGTTCTCAACCAGCAGTCTGGGAGCTCCTGATGGGCCGCAAGCAGGTGTCAGGGAGTCCACCAAGTAGGGCCAGCGTTAGACTCACTGGGGCCCAGGGCAGAAAGCCAAAGCCCCGCCACATGGGACTGAAGCCCAGGGTCCTGAGCCCCACCATCTGGGGCTGAAGCCAAAGCCTGAGCAATGCAACTTTGCAGCGGGGTGGCCCTGTGGCATGGGGCCCCGGGCAATTGCCCTGCTTGCTGTCCCCTAATGCCAGCCCGGGCTTTTGTAAGAAAACCAGTTATTGGGCACAGGTGGGCCATGGAGTTTTTATAGCATGTTGGGAGGGGGGGCCGTTCCTCGGAAAGAAAAACCCCTGGTGTAGAGGGCAGCGGTGATGTGGGACAGCAACGGGTGGGGAGGAATCGGTGGGATTTGAGGTGCCATAGGAGAGAAGAGAGTTTTGTGCCGTGGACATGGGGCCATGGCTGGACTGGGGAGTACCAGGGCTCTAGGGAGAAAGGGAATCCAGTGCCCCTCTGTTGAGATTTAGGTGCTAGAAGGGTTTCCTCTGCCACTACTGCCTTAACCCCCTCAGCACAGAAGGCAACAGCACTATGGGATGCCCTTTACGTGTCAGTGCTGCAGCACAGAGGCGCGTGGCTCTCCATGACATGCCTATGTGGTGCACAGGACAGCCAGGGCCATGATGCTGAGGAACTGACTGTCTGTGTTGACACATCAAGGCTTCAAGAAATCTCAGTGCACCACACAGCAGCACCACGGGGAACTGTCTGTGCCACAGCATCAGTGTATCAAGGGCTACCTTTGACCCATATATTAAATCAATTTATACCCACTTACAGATGTGTAAACTCCGAATTCAACGTCTCAGCTAACCCAGGGAAATGTCCATGGCCCCCCATTCAGCTGTGCATTTTCTAACCCATAATACTTCTTGGCTTGCTTTGAACCTTTGAGACTGGGGGTTGGAGTAACCTAAGCTGTGGGCTGGACCACATGCAAGTGAATGGACGATGACAGGAGTAATACACTGGCACTAGCACTGATGCTCATCATTAGTGAAGGAAGATTAGTAGGAGGATCTGTCACAAAAGCCTGAAATACCGTTGTGGACACCAGAGGTGGGGGAACCACCAGTCTAGTGTGTTTATAAGCGAAAAGAGGAATGTAGAAGTATTAAAAATAAAAGTGTTTTTGGCTTTCCAGTACATGAATTCATAGTCATTTAGTGGCTCAAAAAGTATCCCCAAAAATAAGAGTAAATTTTTGCTCAGGAACAGATAATTAGTCAGTATTGTTCTAATAAATAAAAAGAACAAATTTAAAAAAAACTGGAAACTTTTCTGCCCCCACCAAAATGCACAGGTGAGGAAATTGTGAACACAAGCACCCATCTGTGTGCTAAGTAGTCATTTCTATGTCCAACTACAGACACTCCGATTTTTAAGGTCAGACCATCTTGATTACCTAACCTGACTTCTTGTATAATATAGGCCATAGAATTTCATTAAGAGTAACACCTGGTTAAACCAGAGCATATCTTTTAGAAAGACACCCAATCTTAGATGCACACATGAACAATTTTGTGGCTGCAAGTGGGATTCCACTTTTTAATAATCTGGCCCTGCCACACAGTATCCCCAGTATTGGGAACTCTCATGATTATTACATTTTTTAGAGCAATGGGATTTCAGAGAGTGCTGGAGCACGACTTGTGATGATACGAGAAACTCCAGTCCCATTGCGAAATTGAGCCAGAAGCCAGCAGAATCTCTCCCCTACGATCACCTTTCTCACAGGGGAGGAGGGGGGAGCAAAGAGCCCAGCAGCTCAGCTCAACTCTGCTCTCCCCCCCACCTTTAAAAACACGGGCAAGATGGTGATATTGCTCCTCTTTCCCCCAAACTGCAGCATCCATCCTGGGAAGGGTCAGAGGGGGGTGAAGAGCCCCCAGAGGTGCCTCACCCTCAGCTTGGAAAGGGGGAGTGGGGACCCCATTACAGCCCTCCCAGGCCTGGGAAAAGGGTGAAGAATGCCAGGAGGTGCAGTGGTGAGGCTTTGGGGGTCTGGGGGAGGGTCTGAATTGATGGGGGGCTGGGGGCAGTTGAACCAAAGGGGACTGAACTGATGGTGAGGGCAAGATGAATTGCAGGATAGGGACATGCAAAGGTGCGAGAGTCCTGCATCAGAGGCACCAAAACACCTTACCCAACACATTGGAGAGAGAGTTGGCAACACTGCAGGGGCAGTTCAACAATCAAAAAACAGACTGAAAAGACACTATTTTTTTAAAATCTCATGATTGTTTGGGGCAGTCGTATGATTTCTGGGGATCCAAATCCTGATTTTTGACCTCTTGAGGTTGGCAATACTGCGTCCCCTACTGGACGGTCCCAGCCCTGCAAGCATGCTGTACCTCAGTTTGCTTACTTGTTCCCCAGTCTGTCCCGACTCCCAAACCCAGGACAGATGCCACACCTCAAGTCCTGCTAGACACCTTTTTCCTCAGGCTGTCCTTTTACAGTCCATGGCAAAAACCAAGCATATTCTGCTTCTTCAACAAAAACAATGAGGAGTCCTTGTGGCACCTTAGAGACTAACACATTTATTTGGGTATAAGCTTTTGTGGGCTAAAAACCACTTCATCAGATGCATGGCGTGGAAAATACCGTATAGAGGTATAAATACACAGCATATGAAAATATGGGAGTTGCCTTACCATGTGGGGGGGTCAGTGGTAACGAGCCAATTCAATGAAGGTGAAAGTGGGCTATTCTCAACAGTTGACAAGAAGGGAGGGGAAAAAAATCACTTTTGTAGTGCTAATGAGTTCAATGGAATCAAGGCGGCCCATTTCAAACAATTGACAAGACAGTGTGAGTATCACCAGGGGGACTACTTTGAGTAAGCCTTCACCAGCTTTGGGGGTAAGATGTTATGCTTTCATGCAGGACTCATGTTATCACCAGGACCTAAGTTCCCTTTAAGCTGCACGGCCACGCAGGAGCTTAGGGCTATGGTGGGGAGCGACATCTCTCTCCCAGCCCCGGACCTGCCGTGGCCAGGGGAGAGGCCCCTATCTCGCAACTGCAGCCCTGGAGTTGCCGCAGTGGGGAAAGGTGCCTCTCTCCCCCAGCCCAGGTGCTGCTGCAGGGAGAGAGAGCTGGGGGGAGTCCTCTCTCCCTGCTGTAGGCCAGGGCAGCCTGCACCCCAACCCCCTCATCCCTGGCCCCACCCCAGAGCCTGCACCGCCAGCTGGAACCTTCACCCCCCTGCATCCCCAATCCCCTGCCCCAGCCCAGAGCCCCCTCCTGCACTCCGAACCCCTTGGCCCCACCCCACCACATGAATTTTGTTATGTGCACCAATATGGAGGTGATGTGACACACATCACCTCCATATTGGTGCACATAACAAAATTCATGTACATGCATGGGAAAAATTAGAGGGAACACTGACCTGACCCCTCAGTCTGTAGGCTGTCACTCCTCTCTCATAGTCCAACCCTCCAGGTCTTTTCCCAAAAACATCCAGTCACTTCTGTCCGTGGTTTGACCCTAGACCCAGGGTCCCTCGCAGGAGTCTGAAACCTTCCTGCAGTCATCTTCTCCAGCCCCTCCTGGGCGCCTGCCCAAGCCTCTCTGGTCTGGACAGTCTCCACTATCCATTCCAGAGAGTTCCCTCCCCTTCAGAGATTTCCCATCCTCCCTTTCATTAGTATCAGGTGCCTTCCCCTTATCCCCGAACAGGCCCAAGTGGGAAGCGCCTACCTTGTCAAAAAGGAACTGGGCCAATTTTCCTTATAGGGACTAGTCACCCTGTGACAGGTCCAGAATTGATTTTAACTGCAAAATTATCACATGCATTCTCTAAATTGACACATACCTAATTTTGCATGAGTCCATAAATCAGAGAGCTGGACAGGTAATTACCCAATTTCAGTATCAAATGCAGGGCTGCCCACCCAAAGCTGAAGGTGCAAATATAGGCCCACTTTTAGGAAGGTACTTAAGCACATACCTATTTTTAAGTGTGTGAGTAGATGACTTGTGTACTTAAAGTTAGGCATAGACTTAAGTATCTACCTGAATTAGGCTTTGTCCACACTACAGACCCTACAGCTGTACCCCTGCAACTGCGCTGCTGTAAGGTTTCCCATGTATCTGGTCTAGGCTGGCAAAAGTGCTCCCACTGGCATAATTAAACCACCCTTAACAAGCGGCAGTAACTATGTCGACAAGACAGTGTCTCCCACCAACATATCGCTGTCCACACCGGCACTTCTGTTGGTGAAACTTTTGTTGGTCGGAGGAGTGTTTTTTCACACCCGTGACCGACAAAAGTTTTACAGAGAAAAGTGCTAGTGTAGACATAGCCTAAGGTATTCAGGGGTTCAGTTTCAGTTCAAAATGTTATCTAGGTTTCATTTAAAAAAAAAAAACGAAAACCTACCACCAAACAATGGATAGCACCTGTGTTGGCAGGTTAAGAGAGTTTAACAATGATTTACCTTTGAGTGTTATCCAATACTGTTTCCACTTTCTCCGTGCAACCAGCTCAAGTTTTTTCTCCTTCTGTAGAGTTACCAATGGCTTGAAGAAGAGCCACCCTGCTTTGCGCACAACTCCTTGTTCTCTCTCATACAGCAGATCCAGTTGCTCTAAGGAACTGAGTGATTCACTGCTGGAGTCCTCTGTGTCTGTTGATGTATCCGTATTCTCAACGTTAGCTCTGCTCATGTCCAGCTCCCTCATGAAGTTTTCATAAATGTTCTGCCTCAGGGCATCACTGCTGATCGCATTAGTGGATTCGCTTCTCTGGGGCAGAATGTGGCCAGAGCCAGATGACCACAGTAAACTAGACATCTGCGAAGGTGCCAGAGTGTTCGTAGCGAGGTTATCAATTCTGCTGTCAAAGTACTCACTCAGATCTTTGGATTTTGGCTCCTGTAAATAATGCAAATTGCAAGTAATCTATGGCAAAGAGACATATTTTATAGCATCTAGTTTGTTTCATGTTTTGTCATTGTAAATTCCATCAAAGTGTGCCTGCTTGCACCATGATGGTGCCTGTTAATCCCAGCAATCTTTGCTACTGTCAGTATTACTGCAACATTTTTATTCAACAGAATCCCAGTAAAGCTAATTGCCAAACCAGCAATGTTTGCTGACTCAACAGGCCTCCCAAAAATAAAATAAATACATAAATAAATCTCAAAACTCATTGATAATTGCTGTGATTTGATTTCCAACAGCCCAGTGGGCATTGTGAATAGAACCATATACTCCTGACAACGGTGAATTAATCTGTTTTCCTGAGCATCGTGAAACAGGGACATGGTCTTTTACACATCGACCTGACTATAACAGTAACACTGATAAGACTAGTTTTGCTTATTACAGGGGTTTTATAATGGGTGAAATTAAATTCAATCTAGGTAGCAAGGTTTCAATATCTGACCATTTAAAAACTTTGGATCTTTGGATTAACAGATGTAAATTGATTACTTTAATGGCAGTAGGCTGATTTTGCCTCCTGAGGATCTGAAACATGTCAGTCTGAAATTTGAAATATTTTTAAATGCACTGAACTCACCAACTATCTGCCAAGATAAATGTGCTCAACTTCATTTTAAAACTAAAAGAAAGTGTGTTGGATGATTTGCACGAATCCAGGTTTTAATATGCAGTGGTGTATATTTTCTAAAGATTGTAGACCTTGCTATTTCAGTGAGGGCTTGACTCCTAGATCCAGCAGTGTATTATGAAATCCATTTGTATGACTCATGCTTGTATGATGCAATTTCATTTCTTCTGCAACCGGGCAGGGCAGTTCCCTTTTAAGTTCTACATATGATTTTAATTCCATGTTGGTGATGTGGGATGTTCACTCATTCCTGCAATAATCTGTCTATATGGAAGATCTGAGCCTCATGGCCTGACTCAGCAAGGTGCTGAGCGCTCTCAATGCCCAGTAGGGTGACCAGATGTCCCGATTTTATAGGGACAGTCCCGATATTGGGGCTTTTTCTTAAATAGGCGCCTGTTACCCACCCCACCCAGTCCCAATTTTTCACACTTTCTGTCTGGTCACCCTAATGCCCAGTGACTTCAGTGGGCACTCAGGTGTCTTAGTATTTCACAAGATTGGGCTCTTCAAGCTAAATTCCACTGTCAAGAAGAACCATCCCACCAGTCTGATGGAAGGATTTATCTCCCATCCAACTGTATATTATTGACATTCTTAAAAAATACATTATGCTTAAAGAATAAGCAAGAGAAAAACTATTTGCTGCCTTTTGTATAGAAAAAAAAATTAACAAATTTTACTTGAAAATACCCAGGGGCTGTAAATAGCTCAACCAGAAGTACAACTATTACCCAGGAAAATGTTATTTTTTGCTCAAGTTTACACTGCTTCTATAGTAATATTTATTTGCACTCTGACTTCTACATACGGATAAAGTAAACAAACACTGGTCTCCTGTGAACTAGTCACACCAGAATCTTGGAAAGCAACTGCATTTGTTTTCACATCCTAGATGCTGCACATCAAAAATGTCCTGGAAGAAGCTGTGTCATGTTTTGATAGTATGATGACCTCCAACATAAAGCCAAGAGCAACAGTGAGATCCCAGGCCGCTGCAGATTTCACAAGAGAGGTCACTTTCCGGCAAGAAGGCTGCTGCAGCAGTAGGCTCAGAAATGCCAAATTTAATTTAAAGATTATGTTCCAAGGCAATACATTTAAGTTTGAAACTGGAAGAGACCCTTCTAACAGCTCTTGGAATGTACACAGGCAACCCTCAAATTAACCTGATTTCTTGGCACACACTGGCCCTTAATATTGTATGCTGTGCCTTGAAGTCAGTGTGGCTCACACACTGGTTGTGGTATGGAGTGAGGAGGAGCTCCAGGAAGATTATGCCACAAGATGGCACAATACCTACCAAATCTTCCCAGCACACTGGGGAGGCACAGTTGCTGCATCATCCCTTAGAGGGAGCAGTGTATGATCTCCTATTCATCTAGACAGTACTGCTGGACGGTAGGAAGATGTACAGGTACATGGTTCTGCCTCCTTTCTGCTCACCTTTGTGGTGGCTTGCACTCCCGCAGTTTTAGAAGGGAGCAGTCCCTAAACTGAGGAGAGCACGGAGAGCGCAACTTTGGCCAGCCCTTTCATGGGAGGCGTTATGGAGTGAGGGAAGTTCCTGTACTCCCCACTTGTGTGTTCTTACAAGGCCAGGCGCAGTCTGGCCTTTACGGAGCTGATTCTGGGACCAAGAGCAGGAGATAGGAATTTTAGTCTTGATCACAGCTATCCTCAGTTCCCATTGATGGGATTAGCCTTAAACTGTTCTGAAGAGACACCCACTAACTAACCAGATGGTACTTCAGCTTTGATACCCAGAGAATTATGTAGTCAGGTTCATACATAGGAAGAAGGCAGCTAGATAAGAACATCTCCATAAAACTACAGGTTTAACCAAAAACCCCACTGTCTACAGTTGGATTTGGAGATATAACTGAGTTGTCCTTTCCTAACTTGAGAGGGATGACAGCTAACACTGGTGATGAGAGGGAAAAACATTTACAAAAGTTATTTACAACGTGCACATTCCCATGTTTAAGGATTTGTTTTACTGCACATTTCAGATTATTTTTATAGGCATTTTCAGGGCTACAAATTATGTTTTGATCCACAGGATCAGATATCACTTTGCCTTAATACTGTAATTATTTTAAAAGTCCATCTCATGAAAAATCCAGTGACTTGAAATTCACTGGTGTATTTGCTTCCATAAATGACAATTAGAGATAGCTGGAATTTTCACCAATCATTGAGTAGTCTTATGGAAAAACAAATAAAATGCAGGCATTACACTAATGGAAGGTGTCTACAGCTCTCAGTACTAGACTTTAGGATGAGTTTTCCCACATACCTGCAGTTTTCTTTTCTTCCTAGAGAGGCTTCCTGTCCAGTCACTGAGGCGTCGCATCCTGCTTTTTAATGTATCCTTCTTGGAGGCATCGTCATTTAGGGGTTTGGATTTTCTACATGGGAGGGTATAAGAAGAGTACTGTGCGGGGCCTCCGTGTTCTACCCTAGAGGGAACATCAATGTCCGAGGCAAAAGAAACACGGTTGCTTAAGCTGGCATGAGTGCCAATGTATTCATCAGACAACCTGAGAGCTGAAGATGGGCTGCTTTCTAAATTTGTATCCTTATATAGATCGCGGAGGGAGGAAAGAGATGAACTTTGGTTGAAGGACTTTTTGCTGTCATTTGTGGGAAAACTGGCATGAATCCTTGTATCCGGAGTGCTCCTGGTCAGGTAGGAGCCATCCAGCTCATTGATATCCCCATTGTTGCCCCAAGGAGAGTCATACCATGAAGACTCTGAGCTTAGGGAGCTTCCTTTACTGGATCTAAGTCTTGAGTCAGTGGGAGATAGACGATGACTTGAAGTGTCATCTGTACTGGAGTTCCTCCTCACCTCTAGCAGATCATTAGATTTGGATTCTAAAGTAGGCGAGTACCTCAGCAGCTGGACTGGTCCATTGGATTCCTCTGTGGAGACTTTGTTGTTGCTACTGTTGTGAAACTCAACCTTTAAACAGCCATCCAGCTTCCCCAGTGTTTTAATGAGAACTTTGGGGCTCCTCCTGTCATCTGGTGGTGGGGTTGATGCTAGGCTCTCATTCTTTCCGTAGCAATTTAAAATATGTCCACTGCATTCCCTGGAGGAAACATGATTACTTGCAGCTTCAAGGCCAATATAGTGGAAACCATTCTCAGGAAAAAATGCCGCATTGCTTCCCTGGCAGTAGTTTCCTGAGGCATTTGTCCTGTGTTTGGCATGGATACTGCTTTTAGAGGTCTTTGCCACTGTGTCACTGAGCCTAGGTGAATAAGGCTGGTTACTCTTGAAGTGAGAGAGGCAACTTCTGGCTAGTGATCTCGATTTGTAGCTAGTGCCACTGCTGCTGTGTCCCCATCCATGCAAGGAGCAAGACTTTTCATCATTAGCATGAATGCTGTGAATTTTCAGAGAACAAGGCTTCTGCTTGGCACCAGATGCAGCATTAGCGTGATTTTTTGATCCATGAAGGCTGTACTGGCTTTCTGAATTCCCCATTTTCCACTAAATTAAGAAAAAAAGTTTCATTAGTATCAGTGGCCAGAAGATGAAGAACTAAGATGAATAAAGCACTTTTACACTCTAAACAAGAAACAGAGTTTTTTTATTGTATGAAACAACTTTTTTCACAATAGAGTCAATAACCATTTTCAGTATTTAATAATTAGGAGTTGGGGAGGAGATCAGGAAAGCTCATTCTTTGTGTGGTTTGTTACCCTGCTATAAAGCTACTAAATGCTGGCGTCTAACCCCATTGAAATCATTTCAACACTTCCCTCCTCCCACACCCCCTGGCAACATTTTCTTCTTATAACTTGTAAAACCTTTAACTCCCAAGAACAATTGCATAATGAAAGGGAAACAACAGGATAATCGCTACTTAGATGTACAGTGAACTGTACTTTCAGAAAACCCCTGCTGCCAGGAGACATGCAAACTGCAGTTTCAGCTTGACTAGCTTCTGTGCAATAAAATGTTCCTTCAATAAATTGTTCAGCAAACCCCTACCTCATGATTAAAAAGAGCCAATCTGAAGGGGAAAAAAGGGGCGGGGGGACTTGGGTTTTTTGAATAGCTTTATCCCTCATTTCAATACAAAGCTGCACCATGTTTGTTCAGCACACAGAAGTTTGGAAGTTCACTCAGCAAAACGCACTTGAGCAATCCTTGCTCACATAAAAGTAGCATTTACAGGAGAAGTTCAATTACTAGTGTGAGAAGTTTGTACAATCTGGCCCCATATAAGTGCACTTGAAAATAAAAGGCCCAAGTCGGCCCGCCCTTACATGGGTTTCAAACTCCAGTGGCTGCAATGTACATACAAATGACAAAGAATGTTTTGAAAAGATATAAAACAAGTCATTCTAAACTGTGTTTTCAAAGTTGATATGGTAACTGGTGCTTCTCTTCATATCAACTTTCAGACTGTTGGACTGGACAAAGCTTGTGCAGCCTCTTACAGGCTTCTGAGAATTAACCCCATTGTGAAAACAGATCCACATTTTTTTTTTTACATTTACATTTATTTGAAAACCCTTCCTATCCTACCCTATTCATTTTTCATTAAGTCTTTTGGTATACAGTTTAGAATGAAATAGAAACAGAAGTACCTCTAGAATCACCATTAAATGTGGGTGCAATTAGCAATCAGCGTACTTTGCATTGTCTTGATAGATAGCCACCACACTTTCCAAAAACGGGATGGCATTCCATGCAAACTTTCTGGAAAATACAAACAAGGAAAAAATATCTCAGTCAAATACATTTACATATATTTTACCTCTATCAGAGGAATCAACATAAAAATAAGACAGAGCACAAAAAATAGAGAGAAGGGAATTGGTTAAGAGTTTTTATATTTCAGCTACATATTCCTATACACTATGTTTGTTAACAGGTGTGAAATTATTGCAATAGAACCTAATATTGGGGTATTTTCTAATTCTTTCTTACTCCACTTTCAATGATGAACTGGCACAAACTTCCAGTACTCTACATTTTGCTTCGGTAACATCAATTAAAATTTATCAGGCTGTGCAAGTATCCATTACAATTTGGACCACTTATATCAAACTGATCAGAGCAATTTTTTTGTGCTTGTTTACTCTGGTCATGGCTGAATTCCAGCCACGACTGCAGAGGTGAAAGGCTACTGGGTAATTCACCCTGCCAACCAGCCAGCAAACTTTTCTTAAAGTTTATTCTAATTTTAAGTTAATCTGCCAGAAAAACAACAAAAAGGCAGCACCAGGCTCTGTACACACCAAAAGGTAACAAGACAAAAGCTGCTACGGAGAGGCTGAGAATACGTCAGCTGTTCACATAGCACACAAAGGCCGTCATTCAAAATAACAGCACAGGATCTGAATTTCAGAGAACTCAACAGCAGGTTATTGACTGAAAGCGCTCAGTAGAAGAAATGCATCACTGTAGAGAAAGTTTTGGGGAGGAAATTATTAGAACAGCAGTTTAATGGATATACTGTTAACCAAAATTCATCCCCTCCTGCAAATAAACTTGGTGGACAGTTTACAAGTAATCCACGAAGAGTCCAAAGGACTATGACATTTTCAATGGAAAAATTATCCCATCTGCACAAAAACAAACAATACACTGGAAGATTTAGCTTCTTTTTAAAAAAAGAGAAAATGTGGATGATTTTGTGTCTCTGTAACATATTAAGAACCACAAAGATGACTAAAGGAATTCATCAGCAAGCTTTATATTTGGCTAACTTTTAGGTTACCTAAATTAAAAGTCACAAACTAGTATTAAAAACAGTATCGATAGAGAGCCCTAGATAAAGGCCAGCAAACAAATGTCTTAGAGGTATATTATTATTTTTTTAAACCATGCTCTGCAGTGTTTACACACCTCTGTACACAAAGCCCTGGGCACTTTCACCAAGCCATTTGTTAGAGACTTTCACTAAATGTAGGGACTTAAACATCTTATGATAAAAATCTACTTTATTTGATATTTTTAATAATAAGGAATTATTTATGCATCCCCTTATCTTGTAGGTACTAACTGTCTATGTCTAGAAAAGCATTAGTTATATAAAGCAGCTGTAATAATAGCAGCTTTAATACACAGCAATGGTTTAACAACAGAAGGGGGGAAAACCCTACGTTCAAGATGAGGAAGAAACCAATTTAAATAGAAAAAAAATACATAAACTTGATCGAGTTCCCAGTCACTCAGTCAATGTAAATCTTCAGCAAACCTGCTTTCACCATTCGAATAGGAGCAGATCACAAACTAGGGAGTTTGTATGCAGAACCTACATATCAGAGCATAAACTACATTTACAAGGAAGCTTTGAGGGGCTTATTTCTATTCATAAGGGGACATTGAACCCAATTTGTCTAAAGAAGCAGGCAAAGCGACCATCTGGTCTCCATAATGATTGTGCACTGGACGGGTAATCCTTTTAACAGAGAGGGTAGTGAGCAAGCTGCTATTAAGAACCTCAAGATAGACATCAATTTTTCAAGGCTCAAGTCACTGGTACAACTTCCATTGTGTGTGTCTGATGCCGTGTACATATTATATAATGGGTGAAGGAATAAATTTATCTAAGGTACAATGACTGTAAAATAGGGCCTCAGTCAGTGTAGGAGCCAGTTAAAAGTACAACAAAACAGTCAAATTCCACAGAAATAGTGACCAGGGATTTTTCTCAGTGCTCTGGGACTTCAGAAGGCCAGGACGTTCTAAACATTCAAATCAGTGAAACAACAAATCATGACATCTGCAAGACTACAGAGCAATCACAACCCTCAAAATTAGCCGCAGCCATTGCTACTTTTCTTACATTTGTATAGAGATTTTCCTTCGACAACCTACAATATGGGTGAGTTGGGTGAATCCATTTGGTGCCAAATCCCAGATGACACTGGTGCATTGGAAAGGCTCTAGGACAAGTTCCAATTTCTTTGATTCAGAGATACCACATATTTTAAATCCCCTTAATTCTGGAAGATATAGAAATTGGAACATAAAGGACTGACCTCAGCTACATTTAAATAATAAAAATATATATTTCACAGCATCTTTGTATTCCAGATTAAGAGATGAATTCTCCCACCAGTTTGGAGAGATGGCTGTATGGATACCTCTCATGAACAAAACCAGCTCCTATTAAATGTTTTCGGTCATTATAATCAGTGTATTTATAAAGTGGCTCAGCTCACTCAAGCATGATAAAAAAGTTTATTTACTTTCAGTTGTACTAGATATTCCATGAAAAAGTTTTTAGCCTTCATCCTAGGTGCTCCATGACACATTTAAAAAAAAATGCAAGTATATCAATAGATACTCCAGGAAACCCCCTCTCCCACACCTACCACCACCACACCCAATAATTAACGTAAGTCAGAATCCAGCAGCTAAAAACATTTCCCCATGTTTATGATCTTCCATATAAAGTCCTCCCAGTCTCTCTGGGCTCAAGAACAAAAACGTACATTGTACCATGCCCAGAAAGATCAACCAACTAGGTCTATTTCAGACCAGGGTGGGAGTGAACTCCTGAACTGAGGATCCCTCCTGGACAATGGCCAGCCAGCTATACCCCTTCTCTTAAACTAATGGGGCTCCACCATAAGCACCTTCACCATTATGGCAGGATAGCAATCAGACAGCCTTACCAAATGATAGAAAATGTCCTTGGGAATAAAGGATATAGCAGCACATTGCAGCTTTAAAGGAACTTTCCACACCAAATGATTAATCTCTGAGAACAGAGGTTTATAAAGGGGTATTTAGCATCCCATACTGTATGCAAAAGCAAAGACAAATTTTGTGTTTTCAAAATGTATTGGGTGAAAGCAAATATTTACTTTAAAAACAACAACAATAAACAATGTTTTGGCATTAGATTTGCTTGTAAGAAACAACAATTCAAGGGAACAGGAAGTTTTAAGACCTACAGAATAAATTGCTTATTCTGCGGCAGCAGTTTACAGCCAAAGATCACAAAGACTCCTGTCATGGTTTCACTTACTGTAAGAGCCACACTATGCTGATTTCGGTACTGCCATCTCTCTTCTTCCAATACAATGACACTGCCTAGGTTAAGACTTCCCTAAAATTAAAATGCAGAATGCTTCTCTATTCTAAATTGTGCACAACTATAACTTCAGATTGACAGAAGGTACACAGGAAGACATAAAAGGACAAAGTACCCTTCAACCAAAGGCAGAATTATTCAATATCCACGGATGAAATCTAAAGTGACAAGAGACTATGGTAGGATCTTCATATGGCAATTTTACAGATTTCTTTGGTAATGGTTGACTTCTTCAACTATGAAGTTGTTAGAGACCGACTAACATACATTCTAAGCAATGGCGGAAAAGGTATCTTTCACGCACACATGAATCCATCTACTATAGCTATTTTTATGCAATATTTAAAATGTCTTCATTCCTTTTGTTGGGCACTCAGTGTGAAATTCACCCCGTGCATGGCCAATATGAGACCTATGCACTATTGAAGTTCCACTTAAGCCCACTTTTAAGATCTTATGTGGGATTCACAGGCCTGGTGCTGGTCCTTTGGACATGGGTGAATCTCATGCTAAAAGAATACAGTGTCACTTGAAGGATATTGAAACAGGCTCCATCGCTATGAAACCATCAGAAAACAGATTTTTAGACTAATACAGCCTCCTTTCTAACCTAGGCATATCAACAAACAGTGTTGCCAATAATCATCAGAACCAATAGCTTGAAAGGATGAAGCGTCTCGGAGAACTAGCCAGGCTCCAAAAAAGTACTTACACTTATGTTATATTGCCATTGCTCAGCTGCCGTGAAAAAGTAAGCACATCATTTAGGGAGAAATGGTCATTAACTTATCTTCCTCCCAGCCTCCCATGACCCATTAGTTCCAAGTCTGAATTCAGCAGACCAAGAGCAAGAGTCTTGTTTAAGACTGACTGTAAAACACCAATGTATGTAAATAGATCATCTGTGAGGGGAAATTCAACAAGAGACACATAGGCAATATAATCACATACACTCCATAGGTAACTGGGCAGTTAGTTGGTAGAATGGTAGTAATAGCATTCTAGGGAAAAAAAGTCAACCCATACAGAACAGATTTTCTGGCTTGGGATACATCAGAGGACCCCGGATTGGAAAATTGGGCAGAAGACAAAGGAAGATGGAAAACGTCAGACCAAGGCTAGCAAAGCCACTTAGGAATCATGAACAAGAAAAAGGCCTTGTCTTTCTATTCTTTACTGTTGACCTTGAGATGAGAGAAGACATCAGATGATTGTTCTAATGAATCAACAAGGCACCCACTGTAGAGGCCTTTCATTTAGAACAGTGGCTGCAAAACGTTGGTACCCTAGGGTTCTCTCTAGTAGCAAACCAGTTTACATGCCAGTCCTCTACTGCTAGAAGACATCACAGAAACATAATGGACAGGAGTCCACTCTTCTGAATATCATAGGCCACTCAAAAACAAACCCTGTCTGAAGTACCAGTGCTGAAAGTGAGAAGCGGGAAGATGAAAAAAATATGTAGAAGTACACTGAGAGCTTAGGAAATCTCACTGTTCTACTAGTGCAAATACTGACCTCAAGCTCCATCATGGTTGTAACATTTGTACAAAAGGTAGGAGATTAATCTAAAAGGAGCCCACGCTGACAGATGAATGTGGATTTCTTTAGATAAGTGCAGTAAAGGGGGTGCACTCTCTGACCTTTC